TGTTGTGCCTTTTATTACATTCTTTTACATTTTCCTCCGGTAAATTAGAAGAAAGAAGATGACTTTCTCTGGATGCTCACCATAATGTATTGTGCTTTTCCACCGACAAATAACACTCGTGGCGTCTATCATTACATGGTACTCTTGGTAAATTAACTTAGACAACTGGGTAACAAAAGATTGTTGATCAGACAACCACAGGCCAAATATATAGAGAATCAAATGGGATCATTCACTGAACATCAGACTGATATTCAGTTTTAAAAAGTTGGTTAAAATAACTGACTTTGAAACCTAAAGATTCACAAGCTCATTTTTTTTAATTACAGGTGAACAAAATTTGAAAATGTAGTCAGACATGGCTATTAATTATTAGATTTGTGCATGGCGAGAAAATTTAGTTCAACCCAACCAATTTTCACGATAATAGAAAAATTGTGGATGCCTGAATTTCACCTATATGTTGGTATGACATTGCAGGATTTCGTTTTTAAAAACCAGATGCGAAATTGAATCATCCAAATCAAGAGTGTGTGAAAATAGGCCAATCCGTGTACTGCAAAATATATACATTGAAATATTATGTAGAAAACTAAGAACATTTTCCTGACATTTGGTTCATGGACCAATTGAGAAACAGAAAAAAAACCTCTATATCTACATGTTTCTATGTTATCAGTAATTTATCAATTAATTTATGAATTTTTTTACTGCTCTCCTTTTCCCTATATTGATCTATTCCCACTTGATCTGTGCATAAAATCAACATTTAGTAACTCTTCCCTAGCCATCAATTATTTATCTCTGGGGTTTTTTTTTGGCATCATGAGTGGAATTTAGAATCACGAATCAAAACGAATGTGTAGCCAATTTTGTAGTTTGGTTTTATAACGTGAATAAACTTTTATAAATGTACATTATTAAAAAAAATGCAGATAGAGAATCTAAAAACTCATATTTTATGTCATTTGAAATAAATGCTTATAAACCAAATTTTCAAAGACAAATCAATGTATAGTGACTGGCTTTATGCAGAAATTGTAATTAAATATTACAGCTGTTTTTCTAGGTGTTGATTAAAATATATGTAAATTACATTTATTAGCATTCTGATACTTACATTCGTGTCTCTTGCCATGATGCTCTCTGTAAATTTTATTAAAATATAACCATAGTCTTGTTAGTATTTAGCTGGAATGCCACTCTTGGAGTTCAAAGGAACTTTAGTCACTGTTTAGAGAAGATAAACCATTTTATTAATAATTACCACTGACGTTTTGTTGAGCTTTTAGTGAATAGTGAATACAATATAATTTTATAATTATTTCGTCCATTAGGAAATGTTTTTTTTTATCATGAAATCAATTTTCCAGATGTAGGACATCTTAACAGGAAGTAGAACAGTCATAAATTTGATTCTAAACTTTCTACCTAAACTGTGCTTAAATAGCCCAACATTTAGGAAACACCAAGAACACCCAACCTGTACTCTATTATCTCGTATGGCTGCACACACACCACATAAGCAATGATGAAACTAGAGTTTGAGATACAGGTCATCTCCCCATGGGTAGGGAGAATAAAACAGATAAACCCAACAATTCTATATTCTGAACTTATTACTTTTAATACTTTTTCCAGGAAAATAAAAAAGTTCTATAAAATTACTCTCGACGTTCTCTTAATTGTGGGTCTGAAGTTAGACTGATGTCTCGGTTTCGTAATTATTTAACATGGCTAGGTCCTTCTTTAAGAAAACTTTATTTAGAAGTGCTGTTTAAATTTGCTTGTATTCAAATGAGAAAAACTTGATCACGTTGGTCCAACTAGATGCTTCTCAGCAAAGGAGCACTGCAGACTTCCCATGAATCCAGTGTTTCTCTGTAAAAGATCGTTCTCATATTGCATGCACAGGCAGCATCCAGCTTCACTTTGATTTGACTTCCAACATCAGCATTAAAATAGATTAAATTACTAAATCTACTTTAATCTGAAAACCCCTGTGCCTGTCTGATTGCAAAATGTAAGCAGTGTTGTTCTTTAGAAAGAAAACAGTTTACAATAACAGAGGGTCGAGCACAACTATGCACCAAAATCGCTTTACTAAGATGAAGTGATTTTGGTACTTAGGCTGTTTAATAAAAATCTTGGCAGAGATTGATTACCATACTGTTTTATCTTATTGTGACTGGAGAATTCTGTACAACCCAATTGCTAAGGAAACGATATTGATGGGTTCTTGGTTTTTGTTTTGTTTTTTTGAAATTTTTAACCATTGTTATTTTTCTATTTACATTGTAGGCCTTGGTATCCCCAGAGGTTACCATGCAAATTAAACTTACTCATGCAGCAACATGGTAGCAACGCCCAAGTACACATGTGTTCCTGTGGTACTTATCTGCAGATGCCTTAGAGCACACGAACGCACATGATTGTCATTTGTTGATGATCTCACCATGGATGAAAACGTCCTGAGGAGGTAAGTGGATGGTGAAATACTGAATAAAAAAGACAATGGAATCAAAAGAGAAAACAAATTAATCTTGGGGAAGAAAACTGAAAATCGGAAGTAGTGTGAAGAAATGTAAAGAGTTTGAAAAAACACAAAAATAACAAGGGAGTAAATAGATACAGAGGGAGAGGAATGGCATTGTGGCAACAAGAGGATGGAGCAAAGGACATGTGAACTGAAGATGATAATTGGAGCCATTGGGACAAAATTTGATACTTGTTAAAATCTTTTTTAGAAGATACATACAACCCTTCCCACAAGTAGGTAACCTTGGGTGCATCAACTGCTGTGTAGTTTGTCACACTTTGTTCAATCAAGCACAGCTTGCCTTGCACTTAGGTTATTAAACTATCCACTTTCCATTGGATGAGATTAATGTAAGTTTTATGACATCAATAAATAAATAAGTTGTATTTTTAAATGTGGTAGTTGTACAATCTACAGTTAGTAAAAATGTATTTTATTAAAGATGAAAAGACATATCATTCGAAATGGGTTATATATTTTATTAGTTGCCATGTGGCCTCCAATATTTTTGGCAATATAAAAGGTATCTAAACATGTTATTAAATGCTGTGACAAGCATTCATTGTCTTTTCATTGTGCTGAAATTCTCGGGGATGATGCAAGTATTATTTAGGTTTTAGGTATCCAGTTGTGTATTAATTATGGAGAGTTTGGGATTTTAGTGATAAACTCCTCAAGCTGGAAATATTTTAGATTTTGGATTTAAAGTATCTAACCTCCCTTGGACTGTAATAAATTTAAACCTAATTAGTTTAGAAAAATGTTGCCTCAGAGGGGATATGATAACATTATAGAAATATATCCAGAGCCAATACAAACCATTGTCTGGAAATCTATTCACAAACCGGACTCTACAGATGTTTAAACAGCAACTAGATGCATACTTGCAAAAAACATAACATTCAAACTATAATTTTTCAACTGTAGAGTAATAGCTTCTTGATCCAAGGATAAATCTGACTGTCATTCTGGGGTTAATAGGGACTTTTTTCCTAGTTTGTTTCAAAATTGGAAGTGCTTCAAACTGGGTTTTTCTTGACTTTTTTTGAATCAACAGCAAAAAACAAATGTGAGGAAGGCTGAACTTGACATGTCTCTTTTCCAGCCCATACGAAAGATAGCTAGATAGATAGACAGATAGATAGATAGATAGATAGATAGATAGATAGATAGACAGATAGATAGATAGATAGACAGATAGATAGATAGATCGACGGATAGATAGATAGATAGATAGATAGATAGATAGATGGATAGATAGATAGATAAAAGAGGGAGGGACTAGAGTAATACCCAATCAAATGAAAAAAAATAGGATTCATTTTTATTTTTTTAAGAAAATTCCTAAATGTAGCTTACACTCCCACATTCTCGGTATCATGTTGTAAAGATTTTCTCATTGCATTTTTAATCTAAATCTGTAATTGTCTTTTGAAATAGTTTCTCTGTTTTAAACAGTCTTACAAAATAGACCCATCTTTATGCATCAGCTTGCAATGTGTTCAATTCTTTTTTTTGGTAAAATAATACATGGCCTCAATTTAATAAAATATTATCTACACTTAAAAATTATTTACTTCTGTTAAATCAACAGAGATTAATTCACAAGTATTTATGACTAAACTTTGTTTGCTTTTTTAGATTACTCAGTATACCAATAATTAAAGAAAAAGTTGTATTAAATCATTCACATTAAAAAAGTAATATAAAAAATTATAACATTTATATTTTCTTTAGGGACACCAAATATGACTTTTGGACTTCTACCTTGGAAAAAAAAAAGCTATAACGTCTTCTGATGCACAGAGTCTTCATTAGGACAGTGGTGTTCAAAGCAGAACACACTAAAAAGAGTCTTTATATTCTTCAAAAGTAGCTTAGATTTTGAAAAAAAACATAAAAAGACTTTCTTCACGAGTGTTCCAAAGGAAAAAGCTATACGAAAGGATACAAATATGTAGGAAACATAAAACACAAGTAAGAAATTGGAAGGGTATCTCGAAGTTTCAACTTTATAATTCAAATTACCAAAATCATATTTATATATTAAAGACATGAAAGGCGTTTGAATGATATTTTATATACAAAGACAATAATTACATTTCTCGGGATAATTGACTGAAAAAGAGAATTCATCAAAAGTATGAATTGCATAATTTTATTTGAAACGTATTGTTTTATCTCTTTGTATGCTTTTTGGAGTTTCTATCACTATATTAGTAAAGTTGTGGTGAGATGAAAAAGTGGCAAAATGTTCTACCGATTTAAAAAAATTCTCAAATGTACAGCAACACAACATGAATGTGTCTTAAGGCAATTAAAATAGATTGCCCTGTGTACAGCAACTCTGTTCCTTGGGGTTCCTCAACATTCCACGAGTGCTGTGCAAGTTATGCAAATGAATAAAAATAGCACTGACACATTCTTTAACCCCTTAAGGACACATGACAAAAATATTCCGTCATGATTCCCTTTTATACCAGAAGTTGTGTCATTAAGGGGTTAAAGGAATTCTATAGTGTTAGGAATACTGTATTCTTAACACATTAATGTTCCTCATTTCCCCTCCCCCTGCCCCCACTTTCCTCATTGTGTTCTACCTCATTGTGTTACCTGACAGCTGATAGCTGGGTCGGGCTCCTCCTCCATCGACTGATGGGGGAAACGTATGCACATGTATGGCACGCCATGAATGCACATTAGGCCTTCTTTATAGGAAAGCATTGAAACAGTGCTTTCCTATGGGAATTTGGAAGATGCTAGATGTCCAATGTTGTTTACGGAGTCAAGCTCTATGAAAGCCCAGGAAGCACCTCTAGTGGCTGTCTGGTAGACAGCCACTAGAGGCAGGTTTAACCCTACAATGTAAGCTATAATGTTTTCCTTGTCTAATAATTTATCAACTGTTTGCGTAATTTCCAATGTTGTTTTTTTATTCTGGATGACACTGCAATAAAGGAACAGTTAGAAAAAATAGAATAATATTAAATGTGTATTACTTATTCGATTGATGTGGAATTTTTCACATCCCATATTATCTTTGTAGGATCAATCTCTTTTTAAGTTCCATCTCTTTGTAAGTTCAGTCTCTTTGAAAGTAAAAAACTTTAAAGGTCACTGAAACCTTGTTTGCGGCAGAAATATAGAGTGTACAATTCAGCGAATATATTGTACTAGGAGAATCACATTCATCGTATGTGTCAATATAAAGAGGATTGGGTAACTCATAGTTTTAATTTTAATTTATGTATATGCATGCAATCCTTTGTAGGCTTGAGCGATATAGTTTACTTTAAACATGTACAGGAATTTCCATTGCACAAGCATATTCGCAAACTTTATGCTTATGCTCAGATTCTACAAAAAGTTCTGCACAATTTTGATGAATGAGTGTCCATGGGTTTAAATTGTTAAAGAAGCAAAAAGGTGCCAATCTGTGAGTATGACACTTATTGCGTAGAAATGTTAACTTATCAGTAGCAATATTTCAGTTCATATCAAAGTTTCATGTGTATTGTGATTGCCTAGCATATCTATTTGTCAGTCTGTCTGTCCATCTGTTTCTCTGTCTGTCTATCTATCTATCTATCTATCTATATATTTCTCTCTCTCTCTTTCTCTCTATCTATCTATCTATCTATCTATCTATCTATATCTCTCTATCTATCTATCTATCTATCTATATCTCTATCTATCTATATATCTGTCTGTCTCTCTCTATCTATCTATCTATCTATCTATATCTATCTCTATCTATCTATCACTCTAACTCTCTATCACTCTATCTCTCTATCATCTATTACTCTATCTATATATCTATATCCAGCTATCTATATATCGATCTATCACTCTATTTATCTCTCTCTCTCTATCTATCTATCTCTCTATCTATCTATATATCTATCTATCTATCTATCACTCTATCTATCTATATATCTATCTATCTATTTATCTATCTATCTATATATCACTCTATCTATCTATCTAGCTATCTAGCTATCTATCATTCTATCTATATATTTATCTATCTATCTATCACTCACTCTATATATCTTTCTATCTATCTATCTATCTATCTATCATCTATCTATCTATCTATCTATATATCATTCTGTCTACCTATCGATCTATCAATCTATCTATCTCTCTCTATCACTATATCTATATATCTCTATCCATCTCTCTCTCTCTATCCATCTCTCTCTCTCTCTCTCTCTATCTGTCTATCTATCCGTCTATCTATCTATCACTCTATCTATCACTCTATCTATCTCTCTCTATCTATATATCTATCACTCTATCACTCTATATATCTATCACTCTATCTATCTATATATCTATCTACCTATCACTCTATCTATCTATCTATCTATCTATCTATCTATCTATCACTCTATCTATCTATCTATCTATCTCTCTATTTCTCTATCTATCTATCTATCTGTCTATCACTCTATCTATCAATTGACCTATCTATCTGATATGAAACTTTAATGTTGATGTGAAATGGGCAAAATGTGAGAAAATGTTTTTGTTTTAATGTCTAGTGGCAAACAGGGAGCTCCAGAGATGAGCACTTTTTGCCAAAGAACAATTACTCCCTCTTTTTGTTTTCTAGAATTGATACTATACATACACACACATATCTTGACAAAATACGTAGACACAATTTACCTAGCTAGTGTTTTTTGTTCAGAATGTATGCTCTAATAGATTATTATTATTATTATTATTATTATTATTATTATTTATAAAGCACCAACAAATCTTTACAGTAGGTGAACTAACAAACATGCAATTGTAACTATATAAAGCATAGAATTGAGATGAGATATTTCATAGCCAAAAAAGTCAATGTAAGAGTATAATAAAACAAATTATATGTTTTATGTCAAAGTATATACACATATAAAAAGCATATCTTTGTGTTTCTCTGAGATTAATTCACAACATATTTGATCAGGTGTAATTGTGGTGATGTAGGGATTGTAAATGAATTGTGCCCAGTTATTGACAGCCTTTAGTGATAAATTATAATGTTCTTTATATTACAAGTAGGCTAAGCTTAAATACCGAAGATGTGCCTTCATTCCTAATCATTTTTTGTGTGATGTGTGCAGTTGTTCGGAATTGTATTCACTAAGAATAAATTAAGCTTGTTTATACAAGTTAAAGGAAAATGCTGATGAACATCCGATTCAGTCTGAACTACAATTTCTCTGAATTTTGGCCAATCTAGTGATGAGTCGAATTCCCGAACTACAAGCCAAAATGTACCCAAATCATGAAATATCTGATATGTGCAATGCTGGGCATGTCCATTTTAATTTATGAATCTGATTTTTTTTTATTTGTTCATGAACATTGGTTCAGTCAGGCTAAATGCTTTCACTGTGCACAAGTCATTGCAAATTTATTATATAATGACTGTGGCTGCATAGGTGTATGTCACTATTGCTAATTTATACTGAACATCAGTGAACTGGGTTTCATATAAAACATACCACTACTTGCAGTGTCCCATTCTGCTCATGGGTGTAAAGGGGTCCACAGCTTATGTGCAAGAGCTTTTTTTCTGTGTTTTTGCATTTGCCATTGATCTCACATAATAGAAAAAGAAAATATTAGATGTTTTCCTTTCTTGTACTGGCTGAAGTCTCTCCTCAACTGCTGACAATTACAGTAAATTGTGGTGAGTTAATAGTGGCTTTGCATAATTTAGAATATATCCAGAACTTGGGTCTTGATACTTTTTTTCATCTTTATTATTACATTTCATCTGTTAATCAACAGTTGTGTACATTTTCTAGCAAGTAGGTTAAATTAGCAGAAAGTAAATATATTTATATATATATATATATATATATATATATATATATATATATATTATTTTTTTTAAATATAATTTCTTAAAACATTTGTTTTAATGATGCGGTATGTTGAAAAATTATCATGTTTATTTGTAGTAGAAGTGTGTGTCCCTAAATACATTCTGAAATAAAGTTATTCACAAGCATTGCATGTATGGGCTTGTTCCAAGATTGCAGACACAAATATTTTGTTAAATATTATACTTGATTCTAACCACAAGGGGGTGCTCTTTCCCTGTCATAAGAAATATATGTTTCAATAAAATTCAGTAGATTAGAAAATCAGAAAAAAAACAAGGAGAAGTTCTGAACAATTATAAATGTCCATAAGTAAGCTCATTTATCAATAATATTAGTTTACTAAACATTAATGATACATGATGCATGTACCAAAATCTGTTTTTGCTAGTTTATCGTAAAACATTAATTATTCAACTACAATGGGGCTTTCTAATACTTAAAGAGTGTAAAATATAATTATCCTGATTGATGTGCAGATACATCAAGTGAAAACAAACTGACTTTTTTTTTAATTTACCAGTTTTCTAACTGAAAGGACACACTTTATTCTTTCTTTCATTTCATGACAGTTGTGTCTCTCCAATGAATTATTTTCAGATACTTTCCTCTGCCTGAAACCTTTCCATTCATCCACAACCCTAGCATTATTGTTAAACCTCTATTGTTTCTTTGAATTCTAGGACAATTCTTTTGTTCTCATCCCACCTCCACCATTTTTGTCACAAACTGTTGTTAAAGGAGCACTTTGAGAATCATAATCACTATAGTTCATTATAGTGGTCATGGTGGCACAATTTTTGAGCAATTTGACAAAAAATACATAGTTCTCATGCATCTTGCTAACATTTGGCTAATGCAGAATTGAACAAGCACATTAGTACGTTTTGGTGGGAATGAAAGAACGAGAAATTTAGAGATAGGTTAGTGCTCTCAAATTTGACAACGTTGTTTCGATTTGCTCCAATAAATCTTCCCACTGGATTGAACATGAGTGCCTGGACCATCATTAAGTTTTTGCAAATCACATTGTGAGGATTTGCCAACCTCAGGCCCAGTTACACCCTGGAATCCAGGAGAGGCCGGTATCCATATTGGTAATTATAGTGCTCTCAGTCTGGCCAAAGTTGGATGGGTTAGTGCAAGCGTAGACTTTCTTATTAGTTGAACGGTAACAGAAGATCTAGACTTGTAGGCTCAGAAAGCACACTGGTTCATGTCAACACACTTAAACATAATTTGTCTTTTATTTGTTGGATGTTAGTGATTTTTTAATTTCACATGATTTTATAAGACATATAATAAAAATGCAAATACTATAATGATATACAATAATAACACAATGATCAATTGTATATTCAGAACTTAGGACCGAGCATGTCTTGCACCACTCCTTGGTTTTCCTTGGCAGGAGCATAACCTGAAATTCACGAGGGTGATAATCATAAAATATTCATGCCACACACAATGTTTTGCTTCTGGCTGTTTTAAAGCCCGAGTTTCATCTAATAACTTAAAATAAAATTTAAAAAAACAAAGCCAGATTTAGATCTCTGTGGACCTACTTTAATCCAAGTTTAATCCATAAATATTGTAGTTGTCTCTTTCCCACCTGTTCAAATGAAAGAGTTAATATACAATAGACCATAGGATAGGACAAAGGGAGAGTGACATTTGCAGTGTGTGTATCTGTGTGTCAGTGTGTGTATCTGTGGGTCATTGTGCGTATCTGTGTGTGTGGATGTGCCAGTGTGTGTATCTCTGCCTGTGTGCCATTGGGTGTGTTTGTGCCATTGTGTGTATATTTACA